GGTTTTTTTGAGTCTGTAATGGGGCAGATGAGGCACAGGCAATAGATATACCTAGAATGGAGTAAAGTGTGGCATTGTGGCAGGATTTGAGGGAACACTTCAGTCCAGTTGCTGAATGAGCAGGATTTGGGGCCCAACCAGCCATGCTGTGTGGAGAAACCCGTCTAGGCCTTTCATATGGGCCTGAGAAGCTGGCCTGTCCCCAGTCCTTGCTGTCCTCTGGATGAGACTGACAGAAGAGCTGCAAGGAACAGCTGGAATCTGTGCAACAGCTGTAGGGTGTGCATGTTTCCCTTATCAGTCTGCTGCCTTGGCCTTCAGAGATGGAGGGGACTAAAGTAGTGGGATAACAGAGCAGGTTAGGTGAAGAAGGGTCTTACGGGCTCATATGATAATGAACAGATGCAATTTCTCAGTAGTAATCTTTTTTTCCCCTGTATCCCATCTCTGATCTGTCTCTATGCTGAGTCAGTATCATAATTTAATTCACAACTGGAATGGAGAATTGCTTTATAAATGAGTGCCAAACATTAGACAGAATGTGAAAATAACAGGTCTGTCTCATCCCAGTGAGGAAATGAGGCATGTTGTTAGGGAAAGCCTATACCAAATAATCAGATAAACAGAGCAAGAGTTGCCAGTATCTCCTAGAAGAAAACAGGTCACAGCAGTAGAGGCATGGTCTTTCCATTTGGGAATCTGATGAGAAAGGAGAGCAGAGCAATTGACTCTCTTCTGAGGGGCGTGATGGCTTTCAAAGGCCATCTACTCTTCTGGTGTCAGACCTGCTGCAGGGCTGTGTTTTGGACCCCTCTTGTAAGCAAAGAAGAATCAGGGAATTTCATAGGATGTCTTGTTAAATGCGTGTCCAAAATACTTGGAACACACTTCGTATGTCAGCCAGCTCTGCTCTTGTAGACATAGGCGATCAACTTTGCAAACACGTGTGTGGATTAATATGTGTGCTTTCTATAATAACTTGAAGTGTCAGGTGCCACCTCTTCTCCCTCTTTGTATGCACAATGAGAAAAATAAAGTACTTCCAAGGAGCTGAGGAAGTTACATGACCAATGATCATTGTCAGTGCCCTTCTTTTTTAGTTAGATCGATCTATTTGTTTCTAGAAGCATTACTTATGGGTTGGACCCTTGTCTGGTAGAGGCAGTTCACAGTACTCTGTTTTGTGCATATCCAACCTGTGTGAAATTTTCAAAGGGATAGAAGAAGTTTCGGCGTGGCTGCTGCGTGCTTTAATTTCCTCTGCTTCTCTGAGACCCTGCTGGAATGGAGTGTGTATTACTAAGCTCAGTACATGGCAGCAACTGCTCCATCTAAAGAAGTGCTCCTTTGGCTTGGCAGCTGTGGTTGGTGTTTTGAATTGATATGAGGGGAGTATATGTGTGTCAGGGGGGAATAGTAGTTCTTCTGTGCCCTGAAGATATAAAAGCTGCTTCTGATATTTCTGTTGAATACACATTTTCACAAATGATCTCTCTAGACTTCCCAGATCACCCCTTCTTGGGCTATGTGCTTAGGGATTTAAAAGTATTACTTACTGTGCCTGAAAGGAGATGTTTTTTTTTTTTCTTCTTCATCTGTGCCAGACAGGCCCAGTGGGCACTCTGGAGAATTTAACAAAACCAGCTTGTTTACCTCTTGTATGGCTTAGTGGTTTGCTCAGCTCTCTAGGAAGCCCTATTCAACCTCATTTAAATGTAGTAAACAAAAAGGGTCTCAAAATTGTGATTCAGCACTGTAACAAGATGCTGAGAGCGCTCCATTCTAAGCAGTGGAAGTGTATGGTTCCTAAGAGCTGGTCTAGAAATAGGATTCCCTGTTTTGAGGAGTGATTGGCCAGGGAAGCAGCTAAGACCCAGACAGCTTAGTCCTGTGTGTCAAATTGAAATGTGCATAAAGATGTGCTTTACATGTTGATGATCCTCACTAACTGAAGAGGGGAGGAAGCATAGCGCCACTATTACTCTGCTCACAGAGCTCTGAAGCATCTAGCTCAGACAGCAGCTTGAGTTGCATGAGGTGGAGGCACTTGAGGTCCTTGATGGGCTTTGAGCTTGGCAGTGGGATGTTATGCTTTCCTCTAATGTGGGGCACCTCGTCCAGGTGTCTCTCACTACTTACAATATTGTGGACCGTGGAAGGAACCGGTGAAAGAAACCTTTGTAGTGTTAAGTGTGAGTGTGGTTCTTGTGGTTGGGTTTGGGTTTTGTAGAATGGGGACAAAAATTGTGAGAGGGACTTGTCAACGTTGATGCAAGGTATATGTGGAATGGTACAGTTGCTTTTCAGAAACCTAGCATGTGGCCTGTTTTATGTCAGTAAAACTACGTATTTATTAGCACTTGGGAGCATCTAGGCATGTTCATCACAGATCTTTAGAGAGCACCTGATTTATGTCTTGGTTTTGTTACATTTTCCTGTGTTTTATTGCATGAAAACCAGAGATATATAGAAATGAATTGGATGACTTTGCTGTATGAAGCTATTTCAAGGAGGATAGTGACAAAGAGTACTCAGAGCCAAATCCTCCCTCTGACTGTAGTGAGTCACTAATTGCACGCTGTGTATACTGACTAATAAAATATGTTGGCATAATACTGTTGTCCCATGTTGTAATTACAGAAGATAGATTCAGCTATTTCAAAGTGACAGCAAGTGCCTACACTCATCTTTGTATGTGGAGGGAAAGGAACCTCAAATTAACTGATACTGAAAAGAAGGAATTCTTCAAAGGTAGCAAGTTGTCTGGGAATCTGAAGGCTAGATTTTTTTTTATATGTATCTAAATTTATTGTTTAAACTGTTTTTTAGCAAGTTCAATGGTGTGTCAGGGTAGTTGGACTTAGCCTGGAAGGTGTCCATATGCTCCTACGGTACCTGGAAACACAACAGCTAATGGCAGTCTTGATGATCTTTGGAAGGAATTGGTTGTTCCCAACGTGACTGCCTGAGGACCGGTGCAATTACCCTATTTGGCATAAACAGGCAGCAGAGACGAAGAGTAGTTTATAGAAACAGAGCTCTCTCCAGTAGAGGCCCTATTTCCCACAGACAGTTGGATGAGTACACAAAGCAGAGGTCAGTTTGGTCCTATTAACATGTGTTTACAGTGATTTTTATTAACCTTGAAAGCAAGGGAAGCGATCCAAGTGCTATGCCAAGTAACTAATCGTATTCCTTGGTATGATAGGCAGGAGCGATTGTTGTGAGGGCTGCTGGTCCATTTGACCTATGTTGACCCCCATGTAGGACTGGGAGACCTACTCCTGCTGTAGGGCTACAAAACAGGCCAGGTGCTCTCTTGAGGTTCTGTGCTGTCACCTGAGGTTCTGTGCCTGGAGCACCTGGCCATGGCAGGCAGGGCAGGAAACGGGCTGGTGTCCCAAAACAGTTTGGTCAGCCAGTGTCTCTGGTAGTAACATCTGCTTTCTCATCTTTTTGTTTGGTTTTTGAAAATGTGTATAAAACCAGTGTGCCTTACGAGGGACTTAATTATACCCCTAACAGTGGGTGGTTTTTTTGTCTGAAGTAAGGGGGAATGTTATACCTGGCCAGCTGATTCTCTACTTCAAGTAGCAGAGCTGAGGATGTCCCTTTACTTCATTTTACTTAAAATAATATTTTAAAGGTTTCCTTCCTTCTCAAAGTGATAGCTTGCCTGATAGAGGCTTAAAAATCATCTTCACTTACACCTGCAAAGAATTTGAGTACAGCAGCAGGTTTAGGGCTTTAATTTTTCCATTAGCCTGGAGATCAAATGTGGAACTTAAGAGCAAACTCAATTAGATGAAAGATCAGTTTTAAATTTCAGATTCCTAATACTGTATTTTTCAGAGATCTCAATGCTAGCAAATGGAGGCTTGATACATTGCCAAAATCACTGGGATTGCCTTAGATGTGAAAAGGTTAAGCCCTGTGCACACGTTCCACCAGTACCCAAAACTCAGCACAGAAATAGTAACCTCCATTTCTAGTTTGGGTCCATCAGTTTGCTAATGTGCCAGGAAGGAAGACCTGTTGATGAAACAAGTGAGCAGGTTTTCCTGTCTATGCTCTAGGTCATGCCAGGTTTCAGACTCTGACAGGTGCTGCTGGGCTCATGTTAGCAAAGAATAGTGGTGATTTTTAAAGTAGACTCAGCTACATCAGCCTAATAGGGTTAAGCCTGAGATCTGCTAATGGGATCAATAGGATCTTGCATGAACGTAGAAAGAGCTAGATATGCTGATGAACTCTGACTACCTGTCAGCTATGTTAAATGTGGAAGGTGTTGCAAATGCATTTTAGAGACTGTCTCCTTGGGTGGTAAAACTTGTACAAGGCATGATGCCTGATGATGTGTGACAGTAAGCCACAACTCTGGAAAAAATGCATTAAAGCATCATGGTCAGGCTTTTCTCCTGAATGCTTTGTACTTTTACAGGTGGTTTTTTGCACTCTATGTAGAATTGCTGTATTCATTTAGGCAGACTTAAATGTAAGGAAAGAGCCTTCTGACTTTGCGGTTGTGTAGGCCCTGCGTGAAGATAGTGATAGCAAATCACTCTGCTAGCAAATACCTAGCACTTCCAATCCCTTTTCACTGTAGGTTCAGTGTAGTTATAATACTTCTTATGATGCTAGGTCTGCTTGGTGAAAACTTAGATCAGAGATGAAATATAAATTTTAGGATAGCAGGAAAGCAAGAAATCTCCTCTTTGTCGTCTCTGTAGCAAGTCACCCTTTCTGTGCAGCTACATTCTTCCTGCCAGTGCATTTCATTGCAGTTCACTGCTTGAATTCTTCTAGAAAGGATATGTTCAGGGCACTCGCTTTCTTTTTTTTTTTTTTTTTTTTTTGACTTTTCTTTAGATTCTTCTGCTGTCAGACCAGTGTTAACTATGCTGTTTGCAGATTAACCTTTCTGCTGAGAAGTGGCACTATGAATACTTTTCAGAGCTCACCAACACGTCTAAATTCTTCTTTGTCCACAAATGCAGATGATATGTCCTTTGATGTCTCCTGGTTTGCTGTGCGCTCCTTTGCGTTGGACAGAGAGCCCGTCTTGCTGGCATCACTGGACCGGAGAGGGATTGTGACACAGAGCAGGAGAAATGGGAGCAGTGATCTCAGCCTGGAGAGAATCAGCCCCCTGGAATTCCGGCTCCGCGTGCATGGCTGTGAAGACCATGACTTTGGGAACCACTACTGCATAGTGACCCCATGGGTGCAATCTGCCACCGGCGTATGGCAGCGGGAACCTGACATCAAAGCCAAACCCATCTTTCTGTCTGTGAAAATGGATGGTAAGAGATTGCAACGTGTTATGCAATTTATTTATTTTTCAACACCTTGTTACATCTTTGTGACAAATATTCCCCAGGACTATTTTCAAAGGTGCCTGTGATAGTCTCATTAGATTTTGTTATACTTTTCTGTTGTTTGCAACTTCTGATTTCAGATTCTGTGGACTAGGTAGGCCTGGACAGACTGTAGTCATAAGACAGGAGTGTTTTCTTTCCTGATCTTCTCTTGGTGATGTTTTGCATAGCTGGGGCATCTTTCAGTCAAGGCACAGTATTCTCTCCAAGTGTTAACTCTTCTGCTGCCTGCAGGAGGAAGCCTTGGTTTGCAGATGGGGTGTGCTGAAATAGTCACGTTGTGGTTAATATCAAACCTGAGAACAGAAAGTCAGAGCTCTCGCTCCTTCCTCCCTCTCCTAACCACAAGACGTACTGCTCCCTGCACTTAATGCCTTATCTGCTTTCCAACCTGAATTGCAAGTGTTGGTAGATACTTCATGAGAAGCAAGTTGCACAGCTAGATGCTGTATTCAGCACGTAGCTAAGGAGGAAAATTAATGCAGGAGGGGTTTTGAACTAGTTGCCATCTTCTTAGTATTTCCGGGAAAGGTGATATTGGGAAGTTCCACGAACTTGAATCAGAAGTTTTTGTTCTCCCTACTGTGCAGATAACTATTATAACTGTACTTTCCAACCTCCTTGCAGTTCTTGACCCTGCCTTTTAAATGAGGAGTAGGTGCCTACAAATCAAATTTCTTGTTTAGGTACCAACTCTGGAGGTTGATTAGACAGGGTTGCTGAGTGGCAGTGAACATACTGTACGAGTAGTGCTAATCAAGCAAAGCGTAAAGGAGTCCACTCCTTGCCATTTTGAAACATATTACAAAGAACACAGACACAGTCTGCCTCTGATGGGGAAACTTTGCAAGGCTTTTGTTTGGAGGAACAGGTAATGGGATACCTCTTGAAACTAGCTCGTCTTCGCTATCTCACTCAAAGGTTCCTCTGGTGTTTCCAGCCTCCCTGAGGCTTTGAAATAGTGGAGGAAGAATTAGGGTGAGGAGTTAAGGGGATCCAGTAAGAGACCAATTTTCCAAACCTCAAAAAACAGATATCAAGAAGGAAAATTAGTGTAATTTCCTTCTGAAATAAATAATCTGCCCGTGACTGAATAACATAAGATTTTTTTCCTTTTTTCACCAAGAACAAATAAAGCGGATCTCTAAATTTCTCAGTGATATCTAATGACTTTGCCTTCCTCTTTCAGTTCTGAATGCTTTCAAGTATCCCCTTCTGATTGGCATCGGTCTGGCCACTGCCATTGGACTTTTATCCTGCCTCATTGGCTACTGCAGTTCTCGTTGGTGCTGCAAGAAGGAAGTGCAGGAAACAAGACGAGAACGTCGTCGGTTAATGTCAATGGAGATGGACTGAGCGTGGGAGCCGGACACATTTGCATTTTGGGAGACTCACAAGGGCTCTTGGACTGTGCTGAGACACTTGCTCACAGGCCCAGACAAGACAGTGTGCTTCCTCTCTGATTTCAGCCTGGACCTCAAGCTTCTCCTTGTTACACATAATGTCCTGAAAGCATTCAGGCCGTATTTAGCAACTTGGAGTTCTCCTTTTCCAGCAGCACTTTCTGCATAGGGATCATGTCCTTTTAATGTGCAAACTGTTGAGCCTTCTTTCAGCAGGGCCCTGTGACAAAATTCACTAAGTGGGTTTTTTTTGTTTTTGTTGGGGGTTCCCTTGACCCCCTTGATTTTTAAAAGATGTCCCTGTATGAAAGCACGATGGGTGGAAAAGGGGTTGGTAGAAGTGTTAGACTTCATTGTATTAACAAATCTACTTTTCCCCTGTACCCCCATCACACCATCTGCTTCCCTTTCTCTGTCCACCTTGATATCTCTCAGACTTCTCTGTGTTGGGTTGAAGGCTGGAGAAGGTTCCTCTGCCGGTGCCTCATGAGGCTATTCAAGCAAAGCATTGGTTTATGGTTGTCAGCATGCCTTTTTCCCTGGCTTTCAAAGGGTTTGCAGTTAACCCCAAAATAGAAACTTGCCTGGACGTCTTTGAGACACATTTTTTAAACTTGTGGGTTTTTATTTTATTTTCGGTACTCAAAGCTCTTAGCTGTGGTGAATAGGGGCTAACTTGGCAACCCCGAAGAATCAATCCTTAGACAAGCATTTGTTGGATGTCTGCTTATGGCCACCTTCTCCCCACCCTTCCACCTTCTTTTCTCCCCACTACAGCTGCTCACGTTGAGCCTGAGACCCTGTTCTGCTTGTGGCAGGGGGGCACAATGTTGTCTAGGGACAAGGCCCAGCATTCTGCTTGCCTTGGTAGAGGGGTGGGAGACCTTGCCCCAGTGATGATGGTATGACTTGAGGAAACAAAAAAAAAAGAGATGAATCTTTGTCTGCAGTTGGCCAACTGATCATGTTTAGAGAGACTTGTAAACCATGTATTACCAAATGCACAGACCAGACTCTGATGCTGCTTCTGCCAGTCACTCAGTGGTAACCCTTGAACCTGTGAGCAGAGTTTGAGATCTGCAGCAGCTGAAGTGCAGCTCAGGGTAGGAATAGGAGCAGGCCCAAGAGGGCAGCAAGAATCCTTCAGGTTCCAATGGTCTTGGTCTTGTGCATGGGCCTGCAGCAGGGCTTTCCCCATGGGTTTGAGACCTATTCCTAGGTCCTATAGTATAGAAATTCTGCTTTGGTCTTCCACATACACTGACCTGGCTCTTAAGTGGGAGCAGCTCCTTTTCCAGGCAGTTCTGTCTTCCCAGCACAGCTGGTGTTTTAAGCAATAAAAGTCAGAATAAAGATACTGTGTATAAACAAACAAGGAAGTAGGACTGTACCATAATCTGATATCACAGCCAGGGTTTGGCTTGTATCAAGAAGGGTGGGAAATGTAGAATTGAGGCCACGGCTCAATCCTTTCAGGTTTGTTTGGGTTTTTTTTGAAGATAAAAGACGCTAAAGGAGAGCTTTCATGGAAGGTAGTGGCTACTAGGTGATCTGCTTCTAATAGCTCATCCTACTGCACATTCCAGGAGAGCTGCAGGTCTAGTGTCTGTGCTATGAAGGCTTCATTTCACATTAGTGTTTGTGGAACCTTGCACTCAATACTGTAGCTATTGCAAAAATCTGAGTTTTTTGTGGTAAGTTTTCTGTGTGTTGTTTTTTTCCTGTCTTGCATTGTGACCTTTGTTCTGAGGCTGACACGAGGGTTTTTTCTAGAAGGCTGTTCTGCTTCCTGCATGCAAACATGCATGCAGTCACATATGTATACATATGTATGCATAGAGGCATCCAGTGATTTTTGGAAGCTGAATGTGAGATATCTTCAAAATAGACTTGATTTGCGGAGTTGAGGCTTGCAACTTGTTGTTCAACTCTTGGAACACTACATGAAATTTCTTAAAAACTGGGACACCCTCAACCTATAAACTTCTGGAAGACTTTGGCCTGAACTTTCATAGCAACTTTTCTGGCCTGATGTTTTCCTTTCTGGAAGAGCTCTGAAAAGGCCTATGTTGCAGGCAGGCATAGCTGGCTCTGCTGAGGAACAGGGCAGAAGCAGTCTCTAGCTTCAGCTGTGAAAGCCCAGAAATCTGTAGCAATGCTTTCCAAAGGAAGGGAGTTGAGGAAAGGATTCACTCAGATATTACTTTGACAGCAAGACTTTCTTCCTCTCCTGTCTGTCTGTCTGTAGTGAAATCTTGCTTTTTCTGTGGATGTTTAGAAACACCATTCTGATGTTTGGGATGCTGGCTGTCCTTCCCACACTGATCTAGCAGCTTCTTTCCTGCATTAACATCTGCTTTCTTCATGGAAGGCCTGTGGCATGGGGGCATCTTGGGAGGGGTGGTAGTGCTGGTGAAGCTTGAAGCACAGCATCAGTCGCTTTCTGTCCTTGCAGACTCACTCCTTGTTTATGTGCTCTTGGTTAAGTTTTAGGAGGAGAGGATCATGACTGTAATGCAATAATTAGGGAATGAATGAGCAGGGAACTGCCAGGTCTTCCAAGCATACAACATAGCACACTTTCTCCCTGCTGGAAAAAACTCAGGGTTATTTTGGTCAGGGCTCCCTGTTCCACTAGTGAAAGGTCCCCATGTCCTTAGCTAATGCTGACCTTCCTTCATGGCCCGTAACAAACCATCTTTGTCATTCCAAGTGAAGCAAGTTCGCCACTAGCTTGTACTGCTGCCAGCCCCTTGGAGAGCAATGCTGCATCCCCTTCCACCCTGTATTTGCTGTAGTCGGAAGGCTAGAAGCTGAGGGGCTAGACTTAACCCCCAGGTTTCCTTCTACTCGTGCCAATTTTGTATTATCCCCTTTTTTAAAATAGAGTGGGAATCTTATCTCTAATGAAAAAAAAAAAATCTAGGTCACTTTTCATGTTTTTTGTTATTTCCTGTGTGACCAGGGTTTGTGTGAGTGGAGGTGTGTGTGCATCTGGTTGTGTATTAAACCTGCAGAGTATCAGGAGAGTAAGCTGCCTGAGATGCAGTGCAAGCATCTATATCCTCCCTGCTGCAAGCTGTGGTATTGTCAAAGTATCCTAAGGGCTCACATTGATCTTCCTCTGTTCACATTGCCACATCTCCTGGTTAAGCTGGTAAATTCCTCCAGGCATTTGGAATTTCGATCCAGGACAAGCTTGAACATCATATAGCAGAAGGGCAAGTTATTTTCTTTTGTTCTAATTTCAAAGTTATAAAATAAAGTGTTTGGCACAATTCTGGAATGCAGGTACCGAATAGTTCTAACAATGCTGTGTAAAATATTTCTTTTTATGTTTAAAATAAAGAGCGAGCCTTTTTGATTATGTCTGTGCTGTGAGTCTGGATGTTTGAGCTATGGGCAGTTCTTTCCTTGCATGCATACAGACACTATTGTTGAGGCAAGGGTATCAAATGTAAACCTTAGTCCTGTTTCCAGGACTGTTTACCCTGTAAAATAAGCATCAGCCTTATTTCACAGTAAGTTTTAAATACTTGTCTACATTTGTGTGGTGAATTGGGAAACATAATTGTTTTCTGAGTCTATCCTGTTTCTATCCCATTGTAAGTCAATCTCTTTGGGGAAGTTTCCTTCTGATTACCTAGGGCCAGGACTTAGGACTGCGTGTTTTAATATCTGCTGTAAAACCTGGGCATTAGATATTGAGTCTTCTTGAACCCTTCCCGAGGCTTCTCATTGCCAAGGTACCGGGAGGAAAATCAGTAGTGTTGGAAGTCAGCTTCTTGCTTACCTTGCCAATGGCTGAATTTAGGATTCCCCCCCTCCAAGCAACCACGTAAGGACACCATGACAGTACAGCAAGGAGGTGACTTGCTTTCCAACAAGAAGTTGCTTGAGCCAGAAGTGGTTTTGGGAGGTCAAGACAGGTTTTGGCACGATGGGTACCTTTTGGCTTCTCTCCAGATGGTGGTGTCACAGCTGGCATGGAAGGATGTCCTCTGTAGAGTGTGCCTACAGGAAGCTTGGAGGTGGCACCAAGCTGTAAGTTCTTAAGGGGTGACAGGGACTATCAGCTGAGATAGAGAAATACCATAAATGGTCTCTGATCCCTCAGCAAAGCCTTTGGCAGCTGCAGATGTTTAACACATACATGCCATAAGTAATGAGTGACATGCTTGTGGGACAGCAGCTGTTGGCCTCTAGCTGTGCAGGTTACAGCTTACTGGTAAGTTTGGATTAGCTTTATGAAATCCTCTTGCCTTCCCCACCCCCTGGGATGACCTGGATCTTAATACTGTTCTTATAAGTGTGCTAGGATTTTATTGTAAAAAAGAAAGCCAAAACTTGAAGTCTGGAGATGAAGGGGGATTCTTGCGAGTAACTGCCTGAGTGTTGCAGTGAACAATGGGAGATGTAAAGTCTCCAGCACCTTGTATCTGCAATGGGTTCAGCTCAGCTACCTGCCTCTAGCAATATCTAGCTGCCTAGTGTCATAGAGGCAGTGTGAAAAGCACTTTTGTGCCAGAGCCTGAGAGTTCAGATGCTTCTATAGCACCAGGCTCAGGCAACACACTCGGCTGTGCCTGTTCTATGACAGCCTAGTTGTGCTGTGATGGCTCTGGCTGACTGCTGTGCTTGGGTCAGGGCCAGTCCTAAAACCTCCGCTGGGCTGAAGCTGACTGGTGTCGAGTAGGATGCATGAGAAGACCTGCCACCTGTCATGTGAAGGTGAAGCCTGGTCATGCAAATCTTCCAAGGAAATTTATGGGTTTTGCCTTTTCAGTGGAACTTTCTACGTTTCTATGATTGCAGGGGGCTGAGGTCTGCACAGCAGCTATCAGGACAGATGGTGTTTCAAGAAAGAGCCTTTAGCAACTGATCCAAGCTGTGGGAGATGCTAACTGAAGAAAAAGCCACTGCTCATTCTTGTGCAAGGTAAACACACTTTAAATACAGCACATAGCCTTCTATTGGACAGCCCTTTGCCAGGGATCTCCTTCCGTTACTGAGGAAAACGGCATTGGGCTGTAGCCATCAGATGATTGATCTTGAGAGCTCTAGGGGAATGCCTG